GCCGTACTCATTGGAGCACAGGTGTTTTCAGTAGCGACACAGTGATGTTCTCACTACATTCTAAACCCAGAATTAGATTGCACAAAAACACTCTTTATTCCAGAAATACACTGTTATCTTTTTCTGCACCACGTGAGGTCATGCTGATAGATCTCGCCCTTTATCATCAGCATGAGGGCTCAGCAGCACAGCTCTAACTGCGGAGAATTCGACCTCGGGCTCAGGTACGCTACTGTGAACAGCAGGCTGATTTCATAATTGCAGCCTTTATGCGCCCAAATCGACAAAATCTGTGGTCACTGGTACTGACTGTTATGAATACTGGTCCCCAGGGAGGGTTTCAGGAAATCGTACTGGGAGCCGTCAGGTGTGGTGCAGGGGTAGGATGCTCGCTGCCTTTACAAGCGCAGCTCACACCCGAGGAGTTATCCCTCCCCCACCTGTTGGCCTCCGGCTCAGTCCCTGCCCCACAGCCCTCTCCAGGCCTGAAACTGCGTTCACCTCCTTCCTCCCTCCTCTGCCTGTCAGGCTGAAGCAGACACTCACCCGCCTGTGGCCTGTTGAGAGGATGCTGGGCTCAGTGAGGTCGCGGCAGCCGGTGCTCGTGTGGGAGGGAGGCGGCCAGACCGGGATATGGGCTGTGATTCTGTGACCTCACCTCCCGTCAGACCTGCAATTATCATTTCACCGGTCGGGGCAATGACAGTGCAGGCTGGGGCGCTGAGAACATTACTGAAGACCTTTTTCCCCAGTTGCTTATCAAAAATAATTACAAGTTCCTTGCTTGTATCTTCAAATAGGCTATTGACTTGATGGGGAGGGATGCTTACTTTTCCGTAATCCCTGATGGCAGGCAGGGTCTCACATGAAACCAGCAGGAAGTGCTGAGGTGATTCAGGGGGACTGGGGGCTGAGTCACCTGCATTTCACTGGATTCCCTGCTTTGTTGAGGAATTCTACCAAAATGAAACTCATTCTTTTTAAAAATTTAATTTAAAAACCTGTGATTATTCATTACAGCTGATTTGATATTGTATTAGTTTCAGGTGTACAGCATAGTGGTCAGGCATTTATGCTACTTAGGAAGTGATTCATATGATAAGTTTAGTACCCACCTGACACCATGTGTATTCATTACAGTATTGACTAGATTCCCTCAGCTTTCCTTCCATCCCCAAATTTATTCTTAATCCTCAAAACCCTAAACTGCACAATTACTTAAACATTCAAGATATTTAGTATCAGACAAACTAAGGGAAAAGGATTTCTAATGAGTCCAGAGTAAAAGCAAACACATGACATCAGAAATTTACTTTCAGGACTACTGGACTCACTTGTACAACCAAATGTAAATTAATTTGGAAATGATGTGGAAATTTTCTAGGAAAATACTCTTTGGCGGTGACAGGAAGTCTAAACAACAAATCCATAGAAACCAGGACCTGTAAGAGTAACATGGGGGTGCTGAGACAGTGGGGGGCTGGGGTGGTGGGGAGTGCAGAGGGCTGAAATGTGCCCCGGGGTAGTGTATCCAGAGTGTTTAAAGTGCACAGCTGGGCTTAAGGGCACAGGGGACGGTGCAAGGAAAGGAAGGGTGGAGTCCACATGGGCGTGTGGAAGGAGGGATGCAGAGGTCACAGGAACCTGAGATACTGGGGAGGGTGAGAGGGCACAGGTGAGCACGGGGCAGGGGCGGGTGAAAGGCGCAGGAGAGGTCATGTCCACTGTGTTAGGGGACATGGCAGGATAAGGTGTATGTATTTGAGAAGACGAAAAGATTCTTTTGGTGGCGGAGCACAATACAGTGACACTCAGAGAGATGAAAGACAAGACTCTTTATTACATACAGCTCCATGAGGCAGAATGGGGACAGGCAGGGCCACACAGGGCTTCCACCTGAAGAAGGGTAACAGCAAACTGGGGGAGTGGGGACAATGGGGTATTGCAGCTGGGGAGGGGTTAGCTAGGGTGACAGGGCAACCTGGGAACAGAGGAGACTAGAGGACATCATCGAGAAAGTAAGTGATGGAGTTGCAGTAAAAACTCTGGGCACCAAGCATTGGGTGAGTGTCCCTCATTGACACCTCCTTGACTTCAGTGGGAAGGGACAACCAGAAGTTTCACATTTGGCGCTTTTCCTGGACTCTGCGCCGTGTAGCTGTTTCCTTGGCTGATTGTCTGTATCGCTTCCCTGTAATAGTGAGCAGAGCAGCTCCCAGTGAGCTCTGTGAGTCCTAGAGAATTAGAGAAGTTGGGGTGGCTTTAGGGAACTCCTTGCTGTTGGTGTCAGAAGTGAGGGTGGTCTTGTCTAGACTGTGGTTCCTCTAACTTCTCAGTGGGAACACAGCTCTTGCAGGGGAAGTGGGGTATACTTGAAATACCATGTTCAATTTATATTATGATCCTCTCATTGTCCAAATTATTACTTTCTTATTCCATGGTTTGTTGGTACCTTTTTTCTTGTATGTCCCATACATCTACACTTACTTTTAATCCTAGGTTGTTTATAATTTTGCAATTGTATTTGGTGTCTTTAAAAAAAAAAAAATCATACCCTGTACATTTTGTACTACATAATGGCAATTCATTTTAACAGCTTTAGGGCCATAACGTATATATAACATTTACATAGTAATTTTACAACTTATTGACAGTAAGTTTAGAGTTTTGCTGTAATTACCAGAATTTAGTTTTTGGAAAATTTCATGAACTCATACATAAACTAATTGGATAGTTGTTTTATTATTAAGTTTTGTGAATTCTTTATATATTTTGAATACAAGTCCTTTGTCAGATGTATGATGTGGAAATATTTTGTCTCAATCCCTGGCTCCACTCTTCACTTAAGCGTTGTGCTTTGAAGTAAAAATGTTTTAAATTTTAATCAAGTCCAATTTATTATTTTTTCTTTTATGGCTCATCCTTTACTGTCTTCTTTCATAACTCTTTGGCTAACTCAGGTTCAGGAAGATTATCTCCCGTAGGCTTCTCTCAGTTTTATACTTTCACCCCTTATACTTAGGTCTCTGATCTATTTTAAGTTAATTTACCTTAAGTTAATTTTTGTTTATGCTTAGACTTGGCGGTCTCACTTTATTTTTCTGCAAATAGATATACAATTATCCCAGCGTCTTTTGTTGAAAAGACTTACCACATTGGCTTATCTTGGGACGTTGGTCAAAAAGCAACAGACTTTTAACATTTTTGGATTTCAAGTCTGGCTGTGCCTCTCTCACGGGCCCCAGACCCCTCCCGGCCTCACTTGCAGTGGTCTTTCCCTGGGGCGCCCTCCCATCCTAATAACAGTTTCAAGGCACCCTGAGGGCCAGGCTCGCCGCGTCCGTTTCTAAATCTTTCTCTTTTCCCAAAAAGCACTTCCCGCCCCGGCCGCTGCAGCTCAGTGGGTGGAGCAGCGTCCCGCGTACAGGGGCCCGTGGGCTCCGGGGCTCGGCGCGCTCGCCGGGGGCGCGGCCCCTCCCCTCCCCCCCGTAAAAATCAATTGGCGTATCCCCCGGTGAGGATTCAAAAACAAAAACAAAAACAAAGCACTTCCTGCAATAAATTTTCCACCAGGATCTTCCCGTGGGTGTCCGAGCGTCGGGTGCGTGCCGTTTCTCTGCAGGATTTCTTTCTCTGCTGCTACAGTGACACCTGAACTCCTGACCGTTTTGAAACTTTAAAAAAATTTTTTTTTTTTAAAAAAATTCAAATTGTAAAATAAAGACTGAGGCCATCTGACGGCTTCGCCCAGTCCACTGAACGCTATTTACCTCGCCCCGTGTTTTCCCTGGGAAGCGCGAATCTCTAAAACACTCACTTTGCCCACGTGCAGACGAGCCGGGAGGGGAGAGAATCGCTGCCCCGCCGGCCGTACGGCGGTCACGTGCCCCAACATGGCGGCCCCCACGGCGGCGCCGCGGGAAGGGCGCGGACATATTGCCGCCAAACGCCGGAAGCCCGAGCCCCTCTTTTCCAAAAGCCTCAGGTCCTCGTCGGCCACC